CCAGCATGTCTCAAACAGCGAGCAAGATGTAGAACAGCCTATCGGTAGGCACTTATCAAAATCCCACCAAACTTAAATCCTAACAGTTCATAGTCCGAAGGGGCAACCGGGAGGAGGCAGAATGCCTATTTAATATCCGATTAATTTCGCCAACCATGCATCGTCACCCGCCTGGAGTACCAACTCAACTGCCCCATCAAAGGAAGTATAGCGCACTGCGCACAAGCCTTTGCTGATGAAGTCATTAATAGACTCACCAACTGGAAAGGACAAGTGATGAATTATCCTAAAAGTATCGGGCTCATGTTTCAGCACCAAACCAATGGGGGAACACTGTAAATTTGAAAGCAGAGGTGAATCAAATGGGTCTGACACACAACCTAATTGAATTTCTTTTTGACTACTAAAGGCCGTTGAGCCGCTGATGCCAGACATTGAGTATCCCTGGCAACCTGGGGACCCTGAAAACCCATTGAAAAGCCATTTGTAAAACCATTCAAAAGCAGTTGCGCTGCATCCTGATTCAGGTACATGTACCTGGACAGCATATCACGGAACATAACAATGTTAATTGCAACAGGCGCTACTGTGACCCATAGCTCAACATCCAGCTCTGCCCACGAACAAAGGGGGTTACTTTCCTGGCGCAAACGGAACTGGTCATCATACGAAAGCCAGCCAAAACTTAAAAATTGTAGAGCGGCCATCTTTACCGTTTCAGCAAACTTAAAAAACATGGAAAGCGCTTGTCCATTTATCGATGCTTCCTCTGCGGAACCGCAGGCCACAAACCAGGCTAGCAGCATTTTATAAGGCTGAGACAGCATTATCTCTATAGAGGGTTGCCAAATCAATATATTCACTTTTCCAAATTTTCTCTTTTGTCGCCTGTGGAACATAAAGGTCTAAACCCACCGAGGAGAAACCACCTGGTGCCGAAAAGATTGGACATGGCCTACCATCCGGCAAGCTGGCTTCATCCCCGTGACGTTTCTACCCTGGCCCATTCCCGCGTTTGAATCGTTAATGATTGGCAGCCTCGGCACGTCAAGGGGAGTGGACACCGATGGAACGGAATGCAATGCCGGCAAAGAATGGTGACCAAGCGCTGCGCTGCCACCCAGCATATACACGCAAAGCCCGTGCCCCCCCCACCAGCTCCAGCATTGAAACCAACCCCAGACGCAAACCTAGCCCCATAGCCCTCACGAACCTCTCCATGTGCATTATGAATCTCAATGCGTGGATGATGCACAATAGGTTACAGATGAATCAGGATAAGACTGAATTCTGTATTATTGCGTCCACTGGGAACCTGAACTGCTCACCTCCTCTTCAGCTTAAAATTGGGGACATAGCCATTGATCCATCTGCTACTGTTAGAAAGCTTGGGGTTTTGTTTGATTCATCACTATCCATGACCAGTCATATTAATTCCATTTGCAAGAGTGTAAACTTTTATATCCGTAATCTGTGGCTTATTCACTGATTTCAGACTCAGGAGTCCTGACTTCACCCTGTACGGGCTTTAGTTCTTTCTCGCATTGACTACACCAACTCGTTGTTGTATGATGCCCAGGAAGTTGATCTCCAGCATCTGCAGCCCCTGCAAAATAAAGCGGCGCATCTTGTGTTCACATGTGGCAGAGAAAACAGCTCAGTTCAGTTACTTCGATCTCTTCATTGATTGACAATGCAAGAAAGAATTAAGTTCAAAATCCTTCTTTACGTTTATAAGTCTATTCATGGAGAGGCACCCAGCTACTTATCAGTACATCTCAACCTGTACAATACTGGTCACCCGGAAGAAGGTCGTAGACTCCGGTCTTTGTCTGATGTCACTCGGCTAGTTGTCCCACGCTCCACCAGAAAAGCTGGAGATAATTCTTACTTTGTTGTTGCTCCAAAACTATGGAACGAGCCGCCATGTGACATCAGGGGAGTGGCGTCAACCCGTCTTCAAACGCCTCCTCAAAACGTTCTTGTTCCCGGACTGAAGGCATTCAGACACATTTAGTTTACTATCTGTTTCAACTTCATTATATTTTTGTATGTTAATTGTTTAATTAATTTATTACTTTCATTTGTCAAGCGCTGTGTTCTTAGTAGAGCGCTCACTAAATGCTTATTATTATTATTATTATCCACCGCAGGCATTATGAACAGAGGACTGATGGTCAGATTAAAGCACACACGGTACACGGATCGTATCATGTTCTACTCACCGGAAATGCTCCATGCAATGGTGGAGCGACACCCGGAGAGCAGATTTCTCTGTTTCCCACCCAGCTGGCCCCCAGCACAGGAGTCTCGGGTGCTAGCTGGTGGTCGGATGCATAGTGTAGCGGTAGGCCTATGACATAAGGCAGCCCGGAAGAGTGCACATGTAGTTCCCGCAGCCTGGATTTCCCGAAACTGGAAAGATCAAGGCAGAGGCATAGGCCTGAATGGGAAACGTCACCAGCTGTACCTATTATGGAAAGGAGACGCCCCCAGATGTAGCATGTTCATGAGGTGGGGCTAGATGTGAAGTCGTAAGTAGAGCCTGAATAAGGTAAATTATTATTATTATTGAATGAATTTGTTAAGCGCAATATCAATTCAAAAATACACGTGTAAAATGGACGGGCGCCGTCTTGTATGAGACAGACCGGCGGAACCAGATGTAAAGCCGGAGATGAACGTGGATGTGAAGTCGGAAGCAGAGCCGGCTACAAATCCAGGTGAGGATCCGGAAAGGGATCCTCACAAAGGACATCCAGGTCCAGGACAGTCGCCTGGGGAGTGGAGAATGACTCAAGGCGGCTGGCTAAAGTGGGCAGCATCTCCGAAAGAGAGGACCACCGTCATCAAGCCCAGTGAAAAAATATCTTGCCCAAGTAAAGAGCAAGATTTTTTGCATCTGGACCCTGCAAAAGACAATGAGTATTTATGCTTCTTACATGCGGTGATCCGGCCACGGAATCCGAAGGGAGAACTTAAGAACCTAAACACCTGGGACATCAGCAGTATGTCTGGAATACAGGTCGAGGCGGGCTGCGCCACCGGGGAGCTGTGACGGAAGCACCGTGGTCGGATAGTCCAGGCTGGCAGGCGATGAGTGGTGCT